TTAGGCAGAGGGTTATTCCGAACCCGCCTATTCACATAGTTCATACCCACCATAGACTCCGGGTCACCCCCCAACCACCCCACTCTTTCCGTAGCGTTGGTCTAAGTCCTCGATGCAGAGAAAGGAACCAGAGTGATTGTATAGCTGTCCATGGCGTCGCCATATGCTCTCGGTCACGTGGTTCGTGACGCAAGGGAAATAGAATCTTGGGGTCATTGGGCTTCCCCTGACCTAGATTCTACCTCTCTGTCATCTGCAGAATCGCTGATTAATGCCTACAGTTCAAAATAGTCATTTTGACTGACTGGAGTCTATGGTGGGTAATTGAACGTAGTGATAAGAGAACTACCATTTCTGCTTTAATATATATTTTCATAGACTTGCTGACTGTTATGATTCTGGAAAAAAGAATCTTGAAAAATAAATGTAAATCAGCGGTGAACACGCTTCCCTGAAAGCAGAAAGCGAAATACCTTTTAACAATTATATTTAAAGAATTTTTATAAGCATCACGACAGACTGCAAGAAAATCAACTGTTAATACAACCACAGTCAAGGAATAGAAAATAGTTATTTTTTGTGTAGAAAAAGACCTCCTGGGCGTGTGCCCAGATATGACGTCAACTTCTTTATTGTGTCAAAAGTAGGGGGAGGGGGGTGTTTGCCCGGACATGGGCTCTTACCCGGATAAGTACGGTCTAGACATCTCTGCCTGATAAATCACGTCTTCTAGTGACAGGGCGCTTGAGTGACGTCAAAATTATGCATATGGGTAAAGCAACGTCTTTTAAATTGACAATTCTGTTTGTGGTCGTTTGTCACAAAGTACATAGTAATATCTCTCAAAGACAAAATCTTTATTGATGATTGAATGACTGCAGATCAGAACGAGGACGCATTATCGAAAAAGTGTCTTCCAATTCGATAATATAGAATTACCCAGTAAGTTTATTCTGTTTTCCGTGCTGACATGTTGCAAGGTTAAAAAAATTCACTAACTCATTCCATGGTTTGCTAGGAAATAGAGTAAAACTCTGTTCACTTGAGCCCAGGCAGTCCGTTGTTCGAACACCAGATTGCATAGATTTGTGTGGCTTAGGCTTATTCATGAAAAAAAATCTTATTCTCTATTTATTCCATCGCCAATCCCATAGTTTGCAACAGGACTAAAATTATACGTCAATTTTGTTGAGATTACTGATATCAAACACTGACAGCAATAATTGTCTGGTTCGTAATGATTTATTGCGGAACCACCCGACTTCATAATTCCTACAGATATACCGCTACACAAGCTACCGGTAGTCTCATATGCCAACATAAGGCTAAATACATTTTGTCCATAATGAGGTCATAATAACGACAGATCTTTATGAAATGTTTCTCCATTCAGTGACAAAGCTAACAATGTAAGGGGTTAGAATACAGTTTATTTCTATGTACATGATTGTAATTGCGGTGTAACAAATAAAAAAAGAAAACAGTCCACATTATAAAGTACAATGTTACAAGCAGTGAAACTTAAAAGTTTTACATACCTCAGTATTATTTCAGTTTGTATTAAAGTGGCATGATTTTAGGGGATTTTTTTTAATTCAATGTGTATTATTTTGTGAAACATGGCTAAAGCTGACATTAGCACTCAAACGATTTAAATGACACTGTTACCATCACTGCACAAGTGTAAATGGGGTTGGGCTCACCTAAACATGGTTACATAGCAACCAATTTATAAGAACCTATTTTATATGGTGAACTTTTAGAAACAAGTTGACCAAACAAATTTATGTTTGAGGATTGACCATTTCTTTTTATCAATTTGATTGACTGCTCCCCAAACTTTATGGTATTTTATCTAGATTCCAAAAGAGGATGTGATTTCAGGGCTTTTTAGATGGTAGGTACAATCTCTGGTATGATTGTGTACAGCAATAGTTGTACAATCAATGTTGGTAGAGTCCAACAAATGATAACACTAGAATACAACGCACACGTGTACAATTCTGATGACAGTCTCATTTTGATCAGATCATTGTATTTATATTAGATAAAAAATCATCATGCATAAAACATTGCTCAAATATACAACAAATATTGTCATCAATCCATTATCTAGAGCAAGCCACTAAAAAAAGACAGATTGTAGTGGAGATTTATCTCTACTGTATGACATACTGGCAAGTGATATTCTATATTACAATGCGGATTGCTTGGCTTTGTTACAGTCTGCTCACATCGTAGTCTACAAGTCATGCATCGCTCAACGCTGCAACTCCTGGCAAATTTTTACCTAACAAGATAAGCGAAAGAAGATATACAAGGATTATTATATTGTAAAAAATAAATCTAAACTTGGACATAAGATTACAAAGAGTAAGGTGAAATAGATTCTTCACAAGTTTTAGCTCTTCTTTCTTTATTAAGTAAGAAAATATAAATATTATTATGGAAACCAGAGCAATAATGAAACAGAGCTTCTCATTGGCAGTCCATCCCTTTCATTTGATAATTTATCCAATCAAAAATATTTTTAAATACAGAAGCTTAATCTGCATATGGAAAATTGTGCTAATTGAGTATTTTTTTTAATGAATATTGATTAAGATTTGAACTACAACAACTACTACCACCTTATATTGCCCCCCCCCCCTCAAGAATATGTAAATAGGACAAACAAATGAAGATGATTTACCTTCCAACAGTTCCAAACTAGCACCACCACCAGTACTGACATGACTGACTTTGTTTTCTGTGTTCCATTTTGCACAACAAGTGGCAGTGTCCCCACCACCTAAAATAGAACAAACCACACATAATGACAAATATTGCTTTCAAGATAAGATTGTAAAATTCAAAATAAATAGGTACACTTGCATCATCACAAAGAGTGTACTTTATGCATTTGTTCTTTTCTTGATTACTGTAAATTTTCACAATTTTATGGCTTTATGACAAAAACATTTTGACCCTTTTAGATGTTCAAGCCATGTAGGATTTGAACTAGAAGTCCATCGATTGTTAGTTTCATGAAACCACCACTATGTTGAGACACGTGCAAGTTATTAAATTACATCAGTAGTTTATTTCTTACTCACCAATAATTGTGGTAGCTCCAGCCTCTGTGGCAGCCACTACAGCATCCATCATAGACTTGCTTCCATTTGCAAAGCTGGCAAATTCAAACACACCCGGTGGACTGTCAAAAAATAATAAGACAATTATGTGTTGAGAAACAAATTTGTTTATCTTCAAGGTAATTTGTTGTGATAGATAGAACACCTACTATGACATTACCGGTTAAAATTAACCTTTCTGGTGGTGAAATGGTTAAAGGTGATTTCATGTGAATTGCACTACATCCCTTCTCATTCAAGATATATTCTGTAAACAATAAGATAAATGTTTTCATTATAAATATAGTATGACTACTGACCCATTCCAGACAACTGTTTTTGCTCTTAAAATGACTTCCTTAAACACCTCATTACTCTTTGGACCAACATCCAAGCCCTAAAAAGAAAAAGAAAGATTGTGATTATGTAATGTTTGAGGGCACTGTTGTTGACACTGGATGTGTGAATGGTCAAAGCTGCACAAGGTATAAATTTCTAAGTTGTTACTAAAATTACAGCGAACATAAGTACTATATAGTTAAAAAAAATATTTATCAAGATTTAGTATTTCAAATTGTCATTTATTTATTAATTTAAATTGTCAAATTGTGTAACTATTGTGGACAAAAATTGTCTGCACACATATACAAATTTTAGATTAATTTCCATTGGAATCCATATAAGAATTGTACAGTTGAATCATGATCATTTGTCTTATCTAAATCATGATTTTAGTTTTTTTTCATCATTCTGGCATGACTGCAAAATCTAGTCTGACCAAATTTGAAATCTTGACTGATCTCAGCATAAATGAGATACTGTTTTTGTGTAGAGTAAATCCAGAAAATGATTCTTGATAATCACTGCCTCAAAGACAAGTAAGATAGATTGCATTTAAACCCAATATTATTTTGCTAATTCCTGCTAAGTACTGAATTTAACACGTTAAAGCATTATTTAAAACAATATTAATCATCAGAATTACTTTTGCCTCAGTAACACCAAATTGGTTGAAGTGTATAACTTACACTTATATTACAATTTGTTAAATTAAAACTCTTTGCAGTCAAACCTGTGTATACTGACCACCCAAGGAACAAATGCTCTTTATATGGAGGTTGGATTATTTTGTTTATACATTAGAGCCAACTTGTGTATTTGACATACATGTCCAGCCAATAAAGCAAAAACACAAACCGTTGAGTTGATTGAAATAAAAATATTTGACTGCAGGAAATTGGAAATTGTTTTATAAACAGAATGCTAATTATTATTGTTAATTATTATTGTTAATTATTATATTGGTTTCTATAACAGGTGATTATGCAAAAGTATTGATTATTAAATGGTCAGTATAGGCAGGTTGTCTTTATACACAGGTTGCTCATATCATTATGCCTTGGGGCTTCCAAAAGTGGTCAATTAAGGCACATTGTCTTTAGAGACATGGTATCTAGTAGTAAATCCACTGCACTTACAAGCCATCCTGCTGGTACACCACTGTCTACTGCAGTCACACTGGTTTTGGCATTCTCATCAAATTTGTCACCGTTAACAAAATCAACAGGTAAATGAACTTTGACCCCATTTTTTTCAGCTTTCTCCATTAGGTTTTTTATAATCTTGGCTCCATCCTCATCATAGAGCGAGTTTCCAATCTGGTGAAATTAATAAAAAAAAATTAAACAGTAAATATCATCTGAACCTGATGTTTGGCTTGTCTGTTCAGCATCAGAAAAATTGCTGGATAGACTCTTTTAGTCGGAAGAACACACAGCAGTGGAAAGATTGAGTACATACATGTATATACTGCCGACTTGTTCAGGTCGGCATTCAAGGTTGGGAATATGGCATTCAGTCAGAATGAAGGTTCCATGTGTTGTTCACCATCCTTGTCGAAACTACTTTTATCCAGTGAGAAAATAGGCCCGACCAGGTTCTTTGCTTTTTGCACACTGGGTATCTCATGCTTAGTGTGTACATCAAGAGTGCCACAATGACTTAAAGGGCGGTGGTCGTCGTGTCGCATCCTGTTCGATATGGGACTCATAGAGACGTATACAACGCATGTAAAATACATTGTTTATTTACATGAAATACGAACACGCACTGCGCGAAGACCACCGCGCTTTAACAATAAGACAAAGGGATAACGGATAGATAGAATCTCTTTTGATCACCCCCCCCCCCACACCCTAGAGACAAGTGTTCTTCAGTCTCAAAATGTTGTAGCAGTGACTATATCACTGTGGTCCTTTAACCCATTGAAAATGACCGTGACACTTAAAGAGCATCATTGTTTACAGGCAAGTGTCTACCCATGAGAATTTGCATTTTTATAGTATATTGTTATCATCACTTGGGACTCGATTGCTGTGTATGTGCAGGTGACAATCCCTCCACTAGGTTTAGTAGAAGGTTTCAAGGAAGTAAAATTCACACTAATTATTTTTATGGAAAGATTATTTTTAAACCATATTAATTCAATCAATTTTACGTTAGATGGAAACTTGACATGGTAAGTATGTCACAAGTAAATAAAGTAAAAAAAATCCTTTTTTGAATATTCAAACGAGTACTGTGGAAAAAGTGAATTTTTGTCTTGAAAAATGTTGAAACAAGAAATGTCAGAGATTTTGCTTAATGTTTTTTTAAATGTATAGTTTTGTGTTTTCATCAAAATATGCTGTTGTTTATTTATCCAGTGGCCAAATAATTGGAATGCGAAAATTGAACAAAAACTACCATGACTGTTACTTTCGTATATATATTACATCTACTACAGAGAATGAAGATGTTTGGGTTTTTACTTACTTCCATTCCATTGAGTACTTTGAGGAAAGTGAATGCCATTCCACCACCAATTATCATCTCATTCACCTTATCTAACATGTTTTCAATCAATTGAATCTTGTCTTTCACCTTGGCTCTAAAATTTGATGCACGTTTTGTGAAGAGAAAAAAAAACACACAAATGATGGAGAATACGAGTTGGTACAAGTACTGGCAGCAGAATATGGCCGAGTGTCGGACATTTTTATATGAAATATAACAGGAAACACATACTAAATTTAATTTACATAATGTATCATGTATTTGGCAGTGAAAATTACAGTAAAAACAAAGTAGTACAGATGTTTTCCATACTTGGAAAATGTGCATCCAGTATATGCTATATTTGAACACTTTTTTGTACACATCGGATGACAGGATGTAAAACAGAAATAGAATCTTGTTTTTAAATGCAACAAATCAGACAGGCGTAAATCTCTTAAAATTTTGCCATCATATCTTTCACAAAATTATGGTCGTAAATGATGCTGTATTCTGTAGTTAAAATTTATTGACTGAAGACGTGTGTGCAGAGCATTTTGTCTAGATTGGTGCACTTTGCAAAAAAGTTGTAACCTTAGCCCCAATTACACAGGGATATTGGAGTCTAAATGTAAAATAATAATACCAGAATAATTTTTCACAAGCATGTTCATTAATTAATTTATTACGCTATATTATTGGGTAAAATTTAAAATCTTAAAGTTAATGTGTTTGTAAGTTATACTAATAAAAGGCTGGTGTACTGCACAGTTTGTAAAGTTTTATTAACAAGTTTATGAATTCAGGTTCAGGTTTTGTGAGTTAGAATATTAATCATACCCTCCAAGGATTGCCAGGAATGGTCTTTCGGGACTCTCCAGTGCCTTAGCAAAGTAAGTTAGCTCTTTCTTCAACAGAAATCCAGCTGCTTTCTGAGGCAACTGTACTCCCACCATTGAACTAAAAGAAAACACGAAAGAAAAGATGAGACAATAAGAGAAATAGTAAACAAAGAAAGTTGTTCAAAACATGTGCTCCTTATGAAGTGCATTTAATTATGACAATTATTTTATAAAATCGATAAAATAGATTTCTGACCGAAAAATACCAGAATTCACCTAAAGCCACACATAAAATATTTGTTTTTCTTTGAAGACTTGTCGTTCCAGCAGTCAACAATCTGACCCACCTTGATTTTTGGAATTATATTTTGACTCAAGATTTCTACAGAACCAGTCATGTTAAGAGGGCACACGAGTTACTGATAAATGTTTGACAAAGTATTACACTCATCACAACCCTTCATGTGTGAGCCCCATGCATTGTATACAAGATTGTACCAAATACAATGTTTATCAACACAGACTTCAAATGCGTACTGTAGCACTTCACACCAAAATTCTGAAAAAGTACAAGCCTACACTACACGGTGATGACATAATATATAAAATATCACTCCCATTAGAAACCTGCAAATGGTTTATTAATGTTGATCTGTACCTGTGAGCTCTGTGTGCTGTACCAAAGGCGTCATTTGCATACACATCACCTAACTTAGACAATGACTCTCGAAAAGCTTTAACTTTTTCTTCACTTGCAGTTACCTGGAAAACAAAATGATATATCAAAGGTGTAACTACAAATAAATGCACTTATACCTTGATTCATAAATTTCTTTTTACATTCAGATTCAAACTCCTTTATGGTTGGAGTGTACAACTTCTGCAAGGCACACAAACCTACACAAAATACTCAATCAAGAACTATAAATTACAAAAATATCACTTTTTTGCTGAAATTTAAAGCTATTTATTCAAATCTTGAGTATATTAGGTGGAATATTTAATTGTCTGAATTTGCATACAAAGAGGGAAATAAAACAATTTACCAAGATTCTCCAGTACTAGAGAAAGAAACACTATTTCTTTTGCACACACAATCAAGATGGGATGCTGAAATTGTGAATGCGATGACAGACAAGTTTTGAGTTCCTGAAAATGTTTCATCATTGCCACTTTCCTGACCTCTCATGACAGAATGGGAGGAGGGATTGCTTTTACAACTGTGAGCCTCTGTGCGTTTTTTTTAAGTTGAATATACATGCTTGTTTGATGTCTTTTCACTGACGTACATTTACACCGATACCAAAAGGATATAAATGATATTTTGTCTGTATTGATTTTGAGTGTATGAATATAAAATAGGGTTTCTATAGTTTATAAGAAGTGTGTGCGCTTTCAAAGGTAACAATGGATGTCCACAGTAAAAAATTACAGCAACACAAAACTGAAGCTGGTATAGTAAAACAACTGCCTAAAACTGTATTTCTACTCACTAGAAGTAAATCTGTCAGTGTACACGATAGCTAGGCAACCAGGGGACCCAAAACTTGTCTAGTAAACATTAGAATTTGAACATTTATGTTTCCCACTATCGAGTTCAGTTCAAGTTCTGATCCTGAAATATTTTACATAATAGTCTCAAGATTCCTGACAAATAATCTCAGAGTAACACTTCAGCAAGAGAACCTGGTAAAGCATCAGCCAGATTGAACATGCATGGTGTGTATTTAACAAAACGTACAGTGTTTGCTACAAATGTTATTGTTATGAAAGATGGTTACCACATTAGGTTTATAATAATACCTTCTGTCCCGCTTCATCCTTCCCTTTTCCTTCCTCTTCTACATGGAAACGTAGATTCTCCAGCAGGATTACTGATCCTGCCGCTGGATTGGCGCATGCTGTCTCAACCTCGGCACCAACACAGTCTGTGAGGAAAGTAACGTCTCTACAAAAAAATATGACATTAAAGGATTTTTTTGGCGAGGTGAGTGAAGTAAGGTGTGGGTGGGTTAGATATTCTATACACGTTTGTACAAAGTGTTTTTTAATCAAATTATTTCAATCTTCATAAATGTTGCATGTACAACTTATTTTTATTTTTTAAAAATTATCTTTTTAATCTATCACACGAGTTGTATTTTATTTTCTAATTTCCCTATGCGAGTTTTTCAACTTGAAAGAAATTTGTCTGTTGTCAGTTTTGCTTTGTCCTAAACAATAACATTAGCTTATGATTTTTCCTCGTTCTATAATTATATGTATTTAATGTGCTATTTGTGATATTAGTTGTGTGAAGTATCATTTCTGTTTTTGTTTTACAACCCTAAAATTACTTTCTGTAGTAGATTTTCGTGTTAAAAATTATTATTATATCAGATATATATTTGTTTTTGCTGTATGCAGTTATGAGATCAAGGTGATCAGTGAAATAAATTTTATCTCATTGAAAAATGATAATTCAATATGAATGAAAGAGTCAGTGATTGTACACTACCTGTTCAGTAGCTTCTTCAGTTCTTCTGCAACTGGAGCAAGAGAGAATTTGTCCTGCTTTCTGCCGTCAGGTCTACCAAGATGACTCATCAACACAACAGACTTGGCACCGTTGTCTAGACAATATTTTATGCTCGGTAATGCAGCAACAATTCTTCGAGGATTGAGATGACGAGAAATAATGAAAACAAAATTATACTTTAAGTAATTTAATTAGAAATAATTCATAAAACATTTTTTATAATCGCAATCTTTCACATTCTTACTTGTCATCTTCACATGCCATTCCTTTATCTGTTGCCATAACAACATCAACTCACCTTTGGTTATTAGAAATTTTACCATCTTTCAGGGGCACATTAAAGTCAACCCTGTAGAAAATATAAAAGAAAATTCATAGAGAGGGCAGGTGAAAGGATGTATACATAAATCAGTAACATATTTACAGATTGTACGATTCACAAATAAATTCATTACTTTGGTGTAAATGTTGAAATCCGTATTGTGGAATTTTGGAATCATGTAAGGTTTATTCTTTGGTTAATAAAAGGGGCAAGAGTTCCTTAGGGCCCCCTTGCCCATAACTAATTCTAATTCTGACCCTGACCCTCCAGTACCCCTCCCCCATTTCAGTTGTATACTAGTTTACACCTACGAGTTGAAGTAAAAATGATTTTCTGGTTTATTATTTTTTAAAGGAACGATCTACTTAAAATAACATTCTTGAGAGGCCACCATTTTTCTACATAATAATCAACTTCTTGATGGCCAAGTAAATATTTTTAATAATATATGCACGTAGAAAAATAATAAATATTTATTAATAACCGGTACAATATTATTCTAAAAAAATAATTTCAATCAATTGTGCATAAATATACTCTATATTCAAGTTCTTAAATATTTATAATTAATTGTAAAATATCTCTATTTTGATTTTTTTCTCCAGTTTTTGCTACTGGTTAATTTATACACACAATATATAAACATTTAAAGAATTGTTGAACAAGGTGGTGAATCAGTACATGTCACTGTTACGGGTATCATGGCGAGCATGCAGCGGTTAACAGGCAAGCGTCGCATAAATTCTGCGTATTCCCTTTCTTACCTCATAATAACACGTTTATCTTTGACGTCCACCTTGTCAATGCCAAGTTTGTTTAATGCCATAGCTGATTTCTAGTGGAGCGCTCGTAAAATTGTATCAAAAAAAAGCGAACAAAGTCTGACGTGATGCCGGCTGCACAAGTAATGGGGAAGCCAGATGCGCAAAGGGAATGCGTAAACGTCGGTGACCTTAACAGTTCAAAGGTCGACGACCGACCGAACAGTGGTTTGTGGTAACACAGTTGATTTGGCAGACTTTTGGAGCAGTTGTGCCGGGGAAGATTTACTCTCGTCGACATTTAAAACGGATGATTCGAATTTCAACACAGTGCGTCACATTTTCAGCTGCTGAATAAATGCTCGTAAAACGTGTGGGGGCGCTGTGGTCATTAGCTTTTGATGGAAGCTCTGGATTTGTTCGAAACTTTTGCAAGGTACAACATTTTCAATCATTATCAAGGGGTGAAACCATTTTATCATGGGGGGGGGGCTTAAAACAAAACTATACAATTGCATACATGAAAGAATATTATGCCAATTTGGCACTGAAGTAAATGTAACATTGAAACAAACTTGTGATTCGAAAAACTGAACAAATCTCGGGCGACTACAAAATATTTTCGCCCTCCACAGTATTTCAATGTTCGACCCCTAACCCGGCACTAAATTGCTGGTGCCATACATCGTGGGTTTTAGCATAGACCTAATACAGTAGACTGATTGTATGGTTTTAGTTAGTCGCATCTGTCTAATAAAATACAAAATAAAAACTTGAAAGAATATTTTATTCTGTTTGCTTTCAAATATCTGTTGGATATTTTTAAATAATTACTTTGGTTTGTTTGGAAAATATATCTTTTTCACAATTTTCCATTTGTTACAATGTTATTTAAATTTCCTTGGTTACTATATACGACTTGAATATAGTCTCTTTGAAACCGTGAATTTAAAACTCACTGAATATGCCTGAAATGCATATTCAGTAAATCAGCGTAATTTAAACCCAGCGAAAATTAGTCATTTTACAATATGTGACCAAGGGTGTAGAAAGAATGAGAAAGTTGCGAAAAAAACAATTCAACCTTCCCAGTTGCAAAAAATCTAAGCCAAAATCGTACAATTTTGTAATTGTGATGTGATAAAGTGGTATTCTTCCATTCAAAATGAATAAAAAAAGTCACCAGGTTCCGTCATTCCTGTAGGCATATCTCGGCAGTTGTTTTGAAAACTGGAGATTAAAATGTGAGATACTGGCACAGCAGTCTATGCACCCTGATTCTACACCATATATTGCAAGACCACTCACTGTCCAATGGAGCCCACATTTTAGCGGTAAATCTGTTTTACTATACAATAACTTTTAAAGGGGAATCAATACTATGAATAGGGGCAAGATGGCCATCGCAATTATATTAGTATGTTAATCCGAACCAAGCCGCTCACATTGTGGCGAGAGCTCAGAGAATGTGCCATTTACGATGTTTAGAGATCAAGCTGTGATTCTAAATACATTACTATGGGAGCATTAATATGTACGCTAGCGATTACACTCGTCTGGTTGGGCTTTTGTATAAAAGTTGTTGAAACGTGCCGCGAAAAGTACAAATCTTGAGTTTAAAATGGTGGCTAATGTATACAAAATGCCTGTCAATCATAGTTTGAGTAAGCGAGCATAATAAGCATTCATTTACTTAGTGGATAGAGGCGGAGTTAATTACCCATGAGCATGTGGTGCAATCCATGGGATTGAGCGGTCCCCCTAGCTAGGGCAGTGGTCATCACTTACAAAATTGTGTTCCATAACAAGTTTCACAAGTTTGCTTCTTATACAATTTTATTATGCTAAAAAAAAAACAAAAAAACAATTTGTTTCTAAGATATTTATGCTTTGTAGTTTTTTTCTAAAAAATTTTATGTTTGTTTTAATGATGCTTTGGGAAAAAAACAGAAAAAAAGTTGCGATAGTACAGTATGTATATAACCCCCTTTCTTTGAACTGACACGAGCTGACCAAAAAACAAATTTAAGTCTTATTTTTAGCCTTATTGTGTTACATATCACTACAACGTATCTTTAAATTGAAACTCTTCTGCAGATTTCCAGTACAATTCCCTGTGCATTTAAAGGGCCACCCATTGTGCACCATGAAGGCTATGTGTGCTACCTACCTCCAGGACATCGGTTCCAAATGAGGAAATTTGAAAGACTGTACCAGATTTTATTAGAACAGAATGTGATTTGTGAACGGCAGGTGTTGATGCCAGTGAAAGCCAGTAAGGACTTACTGACTGAAGCCGTTCACACCAAAGATTACATAGAAGACTTTTTTAATGGTTGGACTGATGAAAAGGCGCAAAGAAAAACTGGGTTCGTTTGGAGTGAAGGACTTGTAAGCAGATGTCGTTATGAAACAGGTATGTCCAATATGAATGAAGTCAATGTTTATATATATTTTATTCAATACAAATTATTTCTTGAATAAAATAAAAAGAAAATTTACTAAACATAACTGTACAAGCATTCTAAAACAGATTCAAGAAGGAGAAAAAAGTACAGACAAAATGTGTGACTCTGAGATTGATTTTATATTATTTTGGCTCACATTACGAAAAAGTCGTACAACCAGTTTCTACAGAACTGGCCTATAGGAATTCCTGAAGACAGCCAGTTTTGATAGAATTGTACTATAAGAATTCTAAAGGACAGCCAGTTCATATAGGAATTTACCATCCCTTAGGGCAGCAAGTTTCTATAGGACTGTCCTATAGGAATGAGTATTCTTATAGGACATTTAATGCTTGTCCTGTAGGAATCCTATTGAAATTTAACAAAAATGTAGTTGGAAATATTTAGTTATACTTATAGAAATATATCTAAGCCACCAGATTGAGTTTTGTGACCAATGAGAGACATAAACTAAAATTTCTGAATAAATTAATAGGAAATCGGCCAAAATAATAGGATAATGAATAAAAAGATTCTATAAGAAAATTCCAGTAGGTCTTATTCTTATGTTTATTAATTTAAGCATACTGTATTTGCAATATTAGCACATGCAAACAAAAAATTCCAATTCCTACACGTATACTGAATCATTGAAATGACTTATTTTGACTATAGAAACACCTATGTTATTTCTTTAAGTGCATCTCAAGAAAATCTTAGGTGAATCATCAAAGTGACTGGTTTTGACCATAGAAATTTGGTAACAGGGGTAGTAAACTATAGCTATGGGATCTCCTTGTGACGTTACCTGGGTTTGTCAATTGAATTGAATTGAATTTTTTTTTTGTCAGCTGAATAGAGGAGGGGGGGGGCTACTTTTGTCATTGTTTTGGCATGGACAACATAACTTCAAAAACAGAACTGTAAGAACATTATAGTAACTGACAAGATGTATTCTGTATACTTTGTGTTTTTTTGTACTAGTCAAATTCTTCTCAACTTGTCTAAAATGGTATTATTGATTTATTTTTTGGAGGTGGTACTGTTTTAACTGCTGAAGCAGCTCTGCAATGTGGTCTTGCATGTAGTACAGCAGGGGGTACTCACCATGCATTCCCAGCATATGGCGCAGGTTACTGTCTTTTTAACGACATCGCTGTCGCTGCCAAGTATTTGATTCTCAGGAACAAAGTGTCAAGAGTCCTGGTTATAGACTTAGATGTACACCAGGTGAGATTTTTTTTGTACTTTCATGTGGGGAGCACACATTGGAAGCCTTTGCTGTTAGTGTGTCTGTATGTATGTATGATATGTACGTTTTATTACTAAGTGTAGTAGAGTCAATGCTTTTACTGATATTACAAATCTTGAAGTATTACAAGGTAATTTTGGTTCTATGAAACATTTCAAGAATTCAAAAATAATAATCTTTATGAAAGTCAAGTACATCAGCCAGGTTCAACATCATAGTTATCGAAAATAGCAGAAATTAGGGGGGGGGGGTGTTGAAATGAAAGTTTTATATATGATAATTTATGTATATTAATACATGCCATCACTTTCACGCAAATGCAATAATGGTTTAGAATAGAAATATCATGTGTATTTTGCTGTTCTGTGTTTGATACATGTGCGTACCGTTGATATATCAAGCATTTCATTAAAGATGGTGACCATCACCAAATTTGGTTGGATTTTGTTGGTCGTCATTATCTTTGATTGGTTTGCATAGCATTTTACTTCATCACCTAAGAGACGTGCAATTACACTAGAATATGGCATTTATGTTCTTATTTAATAAGGACATCTATATCAGATGACAGCCTACTTTTTGATACAACATTTTCGGTTATGCTTGAAATCAAACATAAAAACGTGTTAGATTTGACAAACGCAGAAACTATTTTGGGAGTATTTTCATTCTTAATATTGTGCTATACATTTTGAGAATGGTTAATTATAATGAAGTAAGGTAGTCTAAATGTCATATTCTTCTTTGAAAGAAGATCAGCATTTTGACTTTGAGCTATAATAAGAAAAAATTCAAGTTCAAATCGTTCAATTGTTCCAGCAAATGTTCGGTTCCCAGCCTGGACTTTGGGAGTGCTCCGCTACCAGTTGAAAACTGGACCCAAAATTAGGGTGCTTTTTGACCCAACATTTTTTTGCCAAACGATTTTCAAAATTTCTATAAAATGGTTGAAATGTTAAAATTGGGGGCATACACATGTTCATAAATTGGACATGGCCATATACTCCAACTATGGGAGTAGTTCACACCTTTAATGTAATACACAAGATTTCGCAGTGACCTGAAAATCACCTATCATCTATGAACGTCTATCACAGATGTTTTCACATGATATCTTATTTGACCATGCAGGTGATCTCAATTGCAAATTTTTATACCTTTATATACCCTCTCATACTATCACATCTTCAATATCTTGTAGGGTGATGGTACTGCCTTTATTTTCAAAGACGATCCCGCTGTATTCACGTTTTCTGTTCACTGTGGTAAAAACTTTCCCTTATTCAAACAACAAAGTGACTTGGATATCAGCCTGAATTGTGGGACTGGGAATGCAGACTACATGGATGTGATCCAACATAATTTGCCATGGATTTTCCAAACATTCCGTCCAGACTTGGTGATCTATGATGCTGGTGTGGACCCACACAAAGAGGATCTCTTAGGACAGTTAGCTTTAACAGACGAAGGTACAATGGAACCTAAACAATCTAAAACATATGAGAACTTATTGATTTATCTGTGCGCGTGTATCTGTGAGTCTGTGCGTGCGTCTGTTCGTGTCTCTGGACCTATATCTTATACATTCCTACCTACTCATATCTTAGACATACATCATAGATAATATTATACATATGCACATCAATTTGTTTCGCAATTTGATTCAAGGTGGCTGAATGGCAGCAATTTTTGTGCTGAAAAATGATCAAAATCAAGCATCTCTGGCATTCCAGAACCAGGTCTTGTCTGTTTACAGATAGATTTTGTTCAAACATAGTCATTATGGGACCTTGATGCACATCATTTTATTTTTCAGATCGGATTCAAAATGGCCACTGGCAGTCATTTTGTTTTAATGATTACAGTTCTAGTGCCATATCTCTTACATGCTTTAACTGATTATGTTCAAATGTTATATATTCATTATACATCATGTCATAGATACTCAAAATGGCTGACTGGTGGCCATTTTGTTATAATTAATGCTGTTCCAGAGCAATATCTCACAATATGAACAAGTACTCGTTTGGTGATCAGATACAAGATGACTGAATTTCATTCATTTTAATGTTAAAAAATCATCATAATCAAGCATCAGCTGACATGTTTATGTTCATACTATATTACTATAAACAAAACTATATATCTTAATTTTGATAACTAGTGGGAACTGTGCCTGTGGCTTGTTGAATTATGGTGTACATTATTTAGTGTGTGTATTGGAATCTTGTGTTGATAAACAGATATTTTCTATATAGGTTTATTTAAGAGAGACTACTGGGTTATCAATTATTCAATCACCTGTGGCTGTCCATGTGCCTGTCTGATTGGTGGTGGATATGATAAAAGTGTTGACAAATTGGCATTAAGGCATAGTATACTACACAGAGCTGCCACAAAGGTGAGTCCGTTGTAGTTAGAGACTCAAATGGACGTGAGATGCGAGATAGTCACAAGACTTGCTGACTGTTGAAGGCAATGTTTAGACAATGTTGATTCACTGCAGTTATGTCATCAACTATAATGTTGATTCACTGCAGTTATGTCATCAAAGATAATGTTGATTCACTGCAGTTATGTCACCAAAGATAATGTTGATTTACTGCAGTTATGTCATCAAAGATAATGTTGATTTACTGCAGTTATGTCATCAACTATAATGTTGATTCACTGCAGTTATGTCACCAAAGATAATGTTGATTTACTGCAGTTATGTCACCAAAGATAATGTTGGTTCACTGCAGTTATGTCATCAACTATAATGTTGATTCACTGCAGTTATGTCATCAAAGATAATGTTGATTCACTGCAGTTATGTCACCAAAGATAATGTTGATTTACTGCAGTTATGTCATCAAAGATAATGTTGATTTACTGCAGTTATGTCATCAACTATAATGTTGATTCACTGCAGTTATGTCACCAAAGATAATGTTGATTCACTGCAGTTATGTCACCAAAGATAATGTTGATTCACTGCAGTTATGTCACTAAAGATAATGTTGATTCACTGCAGTTATGTCATCAACTATAATGTTGGTTCACTGCAGTTATGTCACCAAAGATAATGTTGATTCACTGCAGTTATGTCACCAAAGATAATGTTGATTCACTGCAGTTATGTCACTAAAGATAATGTTGATTCACTGCAGTTATGTCACTAAAGATAATGTTGATTCACTGCAGTTATGTCATGCAGTTATGTCAGTTATGTTATGTCACCAAAGATAATGTTGATTCACTGCAGTTATGTCACTAAAGATAATGTTGATTCACTGCAGTTATGTCATCAACTATAATGTTGGTTCACTGCAGTTATGTCACCAAAGATAATGTTGATTCACTGCAGTTATGTCACCAAAGATAATGTTGATTCACTGCAGTTATGTCACTAAAGATAATGTTGATTCACTGCAGTTATGTCATCAACTATAATGTTGATTCACTGCAGTTGTGTCACCAAAGATAATGTTGATTCACTACAGTTATGTTACCAAATATAATGCTGATTCACTGCAGTTATGTCACCAACTATAATGTTGATTCACTGCAGTTATGTCACCAAAGATAATGTTGATTCACTGCAGTTATGTCACCAAAGATAATGTTGATTCACTGCAGTTATGTCACTAAAGATAATGTTGATTCACTGCAGTTATGTCACCAAAGATAATGTTGATTCACTGCAGTTATGTCACTAAAGATAATGTTGATTCACTGCATTGATGTCATCAACTATAATGTTGATTCACTGCAGTTATGTCATCAACTATAATGTTGATTCACTGCAGTTATGTCAGCAACTATAATGTTGATTCACTGCAGTTATGTCATCAACTATAATGTTAATTCACTGCAGTTATGTCATCAACTATAATGTTGATTCACTGCAGTTATGTCATCAACTATAATGTTGATTCACTGCAGTTATGTCACCAAAGATAATGTTGATTCACTGCAGTTATGTCACCAAAGATAATGTTGATTCACTGCAGTTATGTCATCAACTATATTGTTGATTCACTGCAGTTATGTCACCAAAGATAATGTTGATTCACTGCAGTTATGTCACCAAAGATAATGTTGATTCACTGCAGTTATGTCACTAAAGACAATGTTGATTCACTGCAGTTATGTCACTAAAGATAATGTTGATTCACTGCAGTTATGTTACAAAAGATAATGTTGATTTACTGCAGTTATGTCACTAAAGATAATGTTGATTCACTGCAGTTATGTTACAAAACATAATGTTGATTCACTGCAGTTATGTCACTAAAGACAATGTTGATTCACTGCAGTTATGTCACTAAAGATAATGTTGATTCACTGCAGTTATGTTACGAAAGATAATGTTGATTCACTGCAGTTATGTCATAAAAGACAATGTTGATTCACTGCAGTTATGTTACAAAAGATAATGTTGATTTACTGCAGTTATGTCACTAAAGATAATGTTGATTCACTGCAGTTATGTCACTAAAGATAATGTTGATTCACTGCAGTTATGTTACAAAAGATAATGTTGATTCACTGCAGTTATGTTACAAAAGATAATGTTAATTCACTGCAGTTATGTCACCAAAGATAATGTTGATTTACTGCAGTTATGGTACAAAAGATAATGTTGATTCACTGCAGTTATGTTACAAAAGATAATGTTGATTCACTGCACTTATGTCACCAAATGCAATGTTGATTCACTGCAGCTATGTCACCAAAGACAATGTTGATTCACTGCAGTTATGTTACAAAAAATAATGTTGATTCACTGCAGTTATGTCACCAAAGATAATGTTGATTCACTGCAGTTATGTCACCAAATACAATGTTGATTCACTGCAGTTATGTCACTAAAGATAATGTTGGTTCACTGCATTGATGTCACCAAATATAATGTGAATTCACAGCAGTTATTTCATCAAATATAATGTTGATTCACTGCAGTTATGTCACCAAAGATAATGTTGATTCACTGCAGTTATGTCACCAACGATAATGTTGATTCACTGCAGTTATGTCACTAAAGATAATGTTGGTTCACTGCATTGATGTCACCAAATATAATGTGAATTCACTGCAGTTATGTCATTAAATATAATGTTGATTCACTGTAGTTATGTCATTAAATATAATGTTGATTCACTGCAGTTATGTCATTAAATATAATGTTGATTCACTGCAGTTATGTCATTAAATATAATGTTGATTCACTGCAGTTATGTCACCAAAGATAATGTTGATTCACTGCATTTATGTCAACAAAGATAATGTTGATTCACTGCAGTTATGTTACCAAATATAATGTTGATTCACTGCAGTTATGTCAAACAATGTTGATTCACTGCAGTTATGTCACCAAAGATAATGTTGATTCACTACAGTTATGTCACCAAAGACAATGTTGATTCACTGCAGTTATGTCACCAAAGATAATGTTAATTCACTGCAGTTATATCATTAAATATAATGTTGATTTACTGCAGTCGTGTCATTAAATATAATGTTCATTCACTGCAGTTATGTCACCAAAGATAATGTTGATTCACTACAGTTATGTCATCAACTATAATGTTGATTCACTGCATTTATGTCACCAAAGACAATGTTGATTCACTGCAGTTATGTCAAACAATGTTGATTCTCTGCATTGATGTCACCAAAGACAATGTTGATTTACTGCAGTTATGTCCCCAAATATAATGTTGATTCACTGCAGTTATGTCACCAAATATAATGTTGATTCACTGCATTTATGTCACCAAATATAATGTTGATTCACTGCAGTTATGTCATCAAATATAATGTTGATTCACTGCATTGATGTCACCAAATATAATGTTGATTTACTGCAGTTATGTCCCCAAATTTAATGTTGATTCACTGCAGTTATCTCACAAAGATAATGTTGATTTACTGCAGTTATGTCACCAAAGACAATGTTGATTCACTGCATTTATGTCACCAAATACAATGTTGATTCACTGCAGTTATGTCACCAAATACAATGTTGATTCACTGCAGTTATGTCACTAAAGATAATGTTGATTCACTGCATTGATGTCACCAAATATAGTGTGAATTCACTGCAGTTATGTCATTAAATATAATGTTGATTCACTGTAGTTATGTCACCAAAGATAATGTTGATTCACTGCAGTTATGTCATTAAATATAATGTTGATTCACTGCAGTTATGTCACCAAAGATAATGTTGATTCACTACAGTTATGTTACCAAATATAATGTTGATTCACTGCAGTTATGTCACCAAAGATAATGTTGATTTACTACAGTTATGTTACCAAATATAATGTTGATTCACTGCAGTTATGTCAAACAATGTTGATTCACTGCAGTTATGTCACCAAAGATAATGTTGATTCACTACAGTTATGTCACCAAAGACAATGTTGACTCACTGCAGTTATGTCAAACAATGTTGATTCACTTCAGTTATGTCACTAAAGATAATGTTGATTCACTGCAGTTATGTTACAAAAGATAATGTTGATTCACTGCAGTTATGTCACTAAAGACAATGTTGATTCACTGCAGTTATGTCACTAAAGATAATGTTGATTCACTGCAGTTATGTTACAAAAGATAATGTTGATTCACTGCAGTTATGTTACAAAAGATAATGTTAATTCACTGCAGTTATGTCACCAAAGATAATGTTGATTTACTGCAGTTATGGTACAAAAGATAATGTTGATTCACTGCAGTTATGTTACAAAAGATAATGTTGATTCACTGCAGTTATGTCACCAAATGCAATGTTGATTCACTGCAGTTATGTCACCAAAGACAATGTTGATTCACTGCAGTTATGTTACAAAAGATAATGTTGATTCACTGCAGTTATGTCACCAAAGATAATGTTGATTCACTGCAGTTATGTCATCAAATAAAATGTTGATTCACTGCAGTTATGTCACTAAATATAATGTTGATTCACTGTAGTTATGTCATTAAATATAATGTTGATTCACTGCAGTTATGTCATTAAATATAATGTTGATTCACTGCAGTTATGTCATTAAATATAATGTTGATTCACTGCAGTTATGTCACCAAAGATAATGTTGATTCACTGCATTTATGTCAACAAAGATAATGTTGATTCACTGCAGTTATGTTACCAAATATAATGTTGATTCACTGCAGTTATGTCAAACAATGTTGATTCACTGCAGTTATGTCACCAAAGATAATGTTGATTCACTACAGTTATGTCACCAAAGACAATGTTGACTCACTGCAGTTATGTCAAACAATGTTGATTTACTTCAGTTATGTCACCAAAGACAATGTTGATTCACTGCAGTTATGTCACCAAAGATAATGTTGATTCACTGCATTTATGTCAACAAAGATAATGTTGATTCACTGCAGTTA